ACGCGGCAACGCGCCTGGTTGTGGCTAGGGGCTTGGACACCGTCCTCGGCGTGAACTGTGGACGGCGACTTCTGGCGCCACTTAGCAAGGGGACTGATGTGGAGGTCGTTAGAGCGCGGAGCTGACCTCGGCGACGACGAAGGGCAAGCCGAAAGGACCCGTGCTCCAAGGTAAGCTCGGCGCGGCACACATTTCTTGGGAGGGGGACACCTGCGCGCGCTCGGGGTCGGGGGGGCACAGGTGACGGCAGAGGCGCTGTGTGGTCACGGTGTCCACCCGCCTGATACCACCGCTTTAATCTCCGATAGTGAAGGGGAGTTTGCCGAGGGGGACCTGGTAAGGTAATCTTTATGATTCCTCGTTCATAGAATGTCTCTCGCCTCCGTTGTCAAATAATTTCAGAATTTAAAAATTTCGGTTGCCTCTTCCCTACATTCGCGTCGAGTGGGAAGGGCTGGCCCAATTGAAACAGGTGTTTGGGGTGCGGGCGGCCTGATGGAAGCCAGGTGTTCTGCTTTTAGGCTTTGCAAGACTGGCCCCCCGCACGCTTTCACGCCCTGATCACCTGTTGGTACATTTTCCTGCGCCTTAAATCCCCTTGAGCGGTTTGGAGAGTTGTGAGAACTTTAGTTCTTTTTGAAACGTAAAAATATAAACGGATTAACTTTGTAGTAATATAATGAAAACCTCACGTGTCTGCTGTTTCATTCTGACCCCTATAATGTCCTCTGGTAAATGAGGGGTTTAGAAATAGGAGCCAGTTTTTCAGCTAGAAACGAACGGTTCTAGGCCACGGCCATCTAGGAGTGGGGACCGTGGAGCTGCTTTTCTGTTTGAAGAATCAGGGCCATTCGGTGGTGACATGGTGGTAAACGGAACACAGTAGTCTGCTTGGTTAAATGTTCTTAGGACGTCTGCCATGTGCCAGGCACAGTGTTCAAGTCACTTCCTTGCCTGCAGAGGCTTAGGGGTGCAGAGGAGAGGAGAATGATGGGTAAATGGACCACGTCAGTACAGGTGGCCGTGCTGAATTAGGAGCACGTGTAGGTAATGAGCACAGAGCAGCAGGACCCTCTCCTGGACTCAGGCTGCAGGGCAAGGGGCAGCAGGAGAGTCCTTGGGAGAGGGTGACACATGAGTATGAGCTGAAGGTTGAAAGGAGAGGCAGGTTAAATGTAAAGCTTATTAGGTCACAGCCCTGCTTACAGTCCTACGCTCACCCCTCCCTGCCTGCCGGTGGGATGAGGACCAAGCTCCCTATAGGCTAGGAGCCTTCTGAGGGCTGGGCCTCTTCTCTGAGGCCTCAGCTCACCTGCTGCCCACACCCAAATACTCCAGTTTTATGGTCTCTTTGACTCAGTGTTTCCCAGAATGTTCCTAACCATCCCTAGATCAACATTTCTTAGGGAATTTGTTTAAAATGTGTCTACCAGGCTCCATCTTCAGGTATTTTAATTGGTGGGTCCAGAGAGGGACCCAGAAATAGTGTAACAAGCCCCTCAGGTGATTTTTATTGGTGTTAGTTTGGGACACTCCTATATCTTTCAAAAACAAAGTCAGTTAAAATAATCCTGGGGATAGGAGAGGGAGTGGCTGGTGGGGTTTTGTATGGGGGAAGGAAAGGGCTTGTCCTTTACTGGGGTGTCTGCTGCAGTGAGAAGCAGAGCACGATTAGTTTCTTAACAGATCATCCTACCGTATTCAATTAAAGATAAATCACTCTTTTCTGCCATCATTTACGTTGTATGTCCTCTCGACAAACGGTTGCCCTCTGCCTGAAGAAAGGTCAGAAAAGCAGACTCAGATCACCCGTAGACTGGACACCACCCTTGCACCAAACATCGAGAGATGCAGGCTCTAAGTGCATACGAGGTTTTGCTCTGGGGCTTAGGGAATTGAAGATGTTGGTGTTTTCTAAACAGACAAATAACTGAATTTGTTGGAGTTCGGATATGACATCAAAAAAATTCAAACTGTTTCTTTTGATATTCTTGGCTGGCTGTTATGTGACTTTTTTTTTTTTTTTTTTTACAAATGTTATAATTTTGTTTATTTACATGACAATTTGATTTAATGGCTACAAGTGAATTTGGCCTACGAAGGCATGGGAGAATGTCTTGATGTGTTTTGTTGGGAAGGGATTGTATTTGTGATAAATGCTGTTAGAAGCCATCTTTTGCAGATCACCTTTAAGAGAAGGAGGTGTTTCTGGGAGGATGAGAAGGTGTTATTTTAGGGGTAGTTGGGAAAATTTATTTCTAAGTCGTCTTTGGTTACATTTCATCTTCATGATCTTCAGGCAGCTTCATATGCTCAACCTTGTTTAGAGGAAAGAGTTTTTTACTTTTATCTTTTTTTTTTTTTTCGGTTTCTCAGTTTTCAGAGCCAAACTGTAAGCCACCACAACCACCCACTTAGCCAGAGCCATTTATTACAACATTTTTTTCTTCTCGTGGTTGAGAGAATGACAGACCAAAAAGAAACATGCCCGATGCTACTGCAGAGTAAAATCAGTGATTGTTTTCAGTCTCCATAGAGTTGACCATATAATTTAGGTTAAGGAAATGAAATAAGCATTCTTGGTCCTTCCTCCCCCTCTTTCTGTAATGAGAAAAATAACCCGGAGGAGGAGGCTGACGGAGAATTTCAAAGCAGAAACGCAGGGTAGTTTGTTTATGTTCTACCTGCCACACCCAGGTGTAGGTGGCAACAGGTCATTGGATCTACCTGGACTGGCGAGGCAAGAATCCAGTCGTGAAAGCCGGGCAGGATATGAACAGGCCGTGGGTAGGGGATCATGGCCCCGGGGACAACAAGGAGGAGAAATATCTCCAAGGCCGGGGAGGGCAGGGGGCAGCCCGGGGCCAGTCACCTGTTCAGAGACCAGGACATCCTGAGCCTGAAGAAGCAGACGGCCAGATGATCAGATTAGCATGATGGGCTCACGATGACAAAGCTGATTGGTGCCAGTGACCAAGAGGGACATTGGGAACTGCCAGAGCCTCTGCCCAGTGGCTCCCTTGGAGCTCCTAGAAGAGGAGGGTTTGAGGCTGCGGGCCAGCGGTGAGATCACCTGGCCGAGGTGGACACTGCCCGGCAGGGAGCACGCGGGTTGCCAGATGATCAGATTAGCATGATGG